ATTTGTAAAGGTCTATTTCTATATCAGATAGGGTTTATATATTCATTTTTTTAACTTTCAAATTTGATTTAATGTTGTTTGTTTACAATAGAAATTACTTTTGATTGTAAAACATTTTAAACCTTTTTTATTAATACAAAACATGAAATTTGTGTTATTAGATTCATCCTAATAAAATCATAGAAACTCAAATAATATCCTAATTAAAAAAGACTATGTATAAAAATTGTGAAAAGAAAATCTCATGAGCAATTGATAAAGAAAGTTAACAAACAGACAAAAAAATTGGAATTCTAAAATCAAAAAATATTTATTGTTTCAAAATAATATAAATTCAAACTTAAAAAATAAAAAAAATTAACATGAATACTTTGAAAAGTAAATGATAAAAAGTGAATTTAAACAATAAAATAAAGATAAAAACTTCTATTTAACTTAAAAATTAAAAAGAAAATGAATGCAAATAAAATATTAAAAAATGACCCAATTTGAATTTGAAGTGGTCATAATTTCACAAGAGAGGGGGAGGGCGGGTGAGGGAGTTGAATTGACTTAGTTTTTTTTTTTTTCTGAAACTTTTACCTTTCTAAACTTTTACTCAAGTTGTTTTGGTGTTTCGAAGATCTAGATATAAATGACTTAGTTACTCAAAATAATAATATCATTATTCATGAGCTTATGTTCAAAAGAATATAATTATCTTAGATGATATTTTAGTCAATGTTTATGCTTAGAACATCATTTACAAATCAAAAGTATTTCTCATAAAATTAATGTTATAAAAAATTACTTTAGGCTATCGAGGTTTAGTATTCAAAGGCTTTTGTGTTATTTATTATATTAAAAAAAGATATAGTTCAAAATATTATTCTATCTTAGAAGTCTATTAAGCACTCAGAAGGTTATTGTACTGATGGTTATGCTTAGAATATATCAAAACTCTTATGATGCATATGCAATATGTATGACAGTTAATAACACAGTGTAAAAGAAAGGTAAGAGAAGATTGTACACAATGATTTTATATTGCTTCATCCAAAACCTAGGGTTACATCTAGTCCTCGCCAAAACTGATGAGATTTTCATTAATATTACCAACACCATTATTGGATACATTAACAACAATACCAATTCTCTACTAGATTTCCTTGCCAGCCACTTTAGACTTCAAAAACTACCTCACCACAACACCTTCTTGGTCTTGGCTTGGAGCACCCACTCAACCATGACATTCACTTGTTCATAGGATAGACAATTTAGTATTTTTTGCCTCTATAGACATCACAAGTATTCTACACCTTTCTAGAAATCGCAAGTATTTTCCACGTTTCTAGGCATCACAAGTGTTGTCCACCTCTTTAGGCATCATGAGTATTCTCCACCTCTCCAAGCATCTACTCAACCATAAAACCCACCTATCCATGAGAAATACAAAATACAAGCATTTTTTTCACCTTTTCAGATTGCCGAAGTATTATTTCATTCTAGCTTTTCTAGACTATCATCTTAAAGACTCTCTAAGCTACCCACATTCCATGGATTCTCCCTATCACTTTTCTCACAACCAAACTTTTATCCATTTGGGTGATTTGGGATAAAAACATATTACATACCAAGAAAAAGTGTTTGGGGGTAATATATAGCTAATCAACACTCATGGTTGGAATTTTCATGGTAGATGTGTTGTACTTCACTCCATTTTCTGCATTTTCAATTTCAAAGATGTTTTGGAGTAGAGAGGAGTTGATTAATGACTTTGAATGATGCAAAATTTCTCCTCTATGTTTTGTAGCTATATTTGGTCAATATATACAGGCCACATGGGATGAACTAGTCGTTTGAGCATGTTTGGTTCCTTAAGTTCTATGGTGAAATCACATATTTTTCTTACACTAGCAAGGCTTTCCAAACAAGGTGCCTTTCGCACTTGTTCTATGTTTCATTTTCTTTGATATGGAACTTTATTGATATAGTCTCTATAATTAAGTATTTTGACTCTTCAAATGGCCAAATTATTTTTTTTGTCTTCATAAAACTTGTAGGTAAATCTATCCTTGATCATTAAGAATTGATTTCATTTTATTTGGATCTCTATAGCACAAGTTATTCCCAAAACATTGTAGTAGCATCATATTGTTCTAGATAGATCATCATTTTTATATTGTAGACATAATTTGTCCATGATAGAGACCTTATTATCCCAAGACTTCTTCATCGAAGTTGTAAAAAAAATTCTATATTTCCAAAGCCACCAAGTCTGGCTAAAAATCAATCCAAATATGCTCAAAATATTGCACTATAGTAGTGCTGCAACTCAAAAAATTTTCATTTTGATTACCATGTTTATCCATGATATAGGTTTTTCCAATGCACGATTTATTCATAAAAGGTTGCAAATAATTATTTTAGCTTTCCACAACCATAAATTTTGGCTCAATGATCATATCTACAGCTCAAGATATATGCAAAATACAATAGACATGGTTTTTAGTCTAGATCAACATCATATGCAACTTCATTTGCAATTTTACACATGATCTAATCCATATAAGCTCTTGACTTATTCATGAAGAATGTAGATACTTCTCCAGGCTTTTCATAACCACCAAGATTTCCTCATATGAGTTCCTAGATCTTAAAACATCAAATAAATAGACTTCATAGTCTTTTAAAGATTTTCACTATTGAATGCATAGTTGAGACATTCATTCTGAGTCATTTTGAGTTCTACATTCTAAAACTTCATTATAATATTTGTGTCAAATTGATTCTATTTTATTTGGCTTAAACTTGTTCTTTCTTGTCCACAAGTCATTTTGAATCAATCTTGAGTTTACTTTAACTAATGTTATGAATTAAAGTTGTCAAAATGAGCCACAACCCATGAGTCAATCTAGCCCATCAAGGGTTTGAGTCGGGTTAGGCTTAAAATATTTTGCAAATTTTAGTGCTATTGAAAATTCAATCTAGCCCACTAAGAACCCGACTCACCATGAGGTTGAATCCATGGTGAGCCAAGTTGGCTCACCAACCCACTAATGCAAAAATAAATGAAAACGAACCTATAGCCCAACCCACTAAGGCTTTAACATAAAAAAAATAATTAAAATCCAATATGCCTAGCCTATGAAGGTTAGGCAAGGAAGGGAGGGATGGAGATGGAAGGTTACTTGATTTCATTCACTTAGGCATTTCGTGTTAAGAATTTAGGGTTTTGTCTTTCGCGTTCTTTTTCTCCTTTTTGATGTCTTTGTGCAGCAACACCACGTGACCACCATCGTGCACCGTCACTGCCCGACCGCCGCGTTCCACATCCACAGACTCTTCCACACCACACACTACCACCACAAGTGCACTACCGCACAACCGATATGTTTCACATACACAGACTCTTCCACACCACACACCACCATCGTGCGACGACCAATATGCAACTACCACCACATGATTTCCATTGTGCGACCACCATCGTATACTACCATCGTTTCACGCACAACCTATCAACCCCTTCCTCTTCCTCACCATGCATTGCCCCCACGTGATTACCCTTGTGTAATTACCACCACCATCCACCACTGTTTCACAAAGAGCCATGTTCCTCTTGGTTGGAAATTTTAGTTTCCAATTTGCATAGCTATGCCTAGCTAGAAATTAGGGAATTTTTTTTAATTTTTTTTTAAATTAAGTGAGTCAACTCGTTAAACTCATCAACCTGTGGTGGTTAAGCCAGACTCATTTTTTATAAGCTCACTAGAAAATGAGCTAGGTTGGGTTGACTCACCTATTGGTCAATCTGTGGTGGGTTGGGTCAGGCTGAGCTGGGTGTCCCATTTTAATAGCTCTATTTTGAACATACTAAGAAAACTCATTAGTAACCTAAATATCAAAAGGCTAATGAATTTTTTTTTTGAAAGGCTTGTCATAATTAAAATATAAAAGGTTTAGACTCAACAAAATTGACTTATAAAATGAAAATTGACTTATAAAATGAATAGGGTGAAATTGTGTCAAGATGCATATAACTTGTGTGGATAAAACTTACGGTCTCAAACGGACGAAAGCCACTCAATTCTCTTACATCAATTTGCTTACATACAAACACAAGAAATTATTAGACAATTCTAAATAACAAGTATTCGTGATTGTATCTAATTTTTGTATGATAATATCTCCATATTTATGTTTCTATACATAACACCTAAATACTTAATTTACTAAAATTTAGAAAAGTAATTAATTTGTTGATAAAAATAAGTTAATCTTATTTTTATATATTTTATACATTATCTTTGAATTGCTTTTTTCTCTTAATTTATGTTCACCTCTCTCCTAATTAAGTAAAGTGCATGTCATACACTATTTTTTTTTCATAATTAATACGACACTCCTTTAACTAACTAATTACAATGCACATCTATTAAAATGTTTATAACTAATTTATTTCATAAATTAAAAGAATATGTTTTAATTAGAGTATTTTAGTCTAAAAATAATTTACATTAAATACTATCAATTATATTTTATATATAAAAAAAATAAATAATTGATTTAACTTAGATTTTATAAATAAAACATAAGTAGTATATTTTTAAATATTTTAATTTATGATGAAAATTCGATTATATTTTATATAAAAACTAATTAAAAACAATATAATGATTATCTATATTTTTTTTTGTTAAATTATAAATACTTTTTGGGTTGTGAGACCCATTTCCTTACGTGTCTAAACATGACTAGTCACAAGTAGTCAAGTTCTACTTTAGATACTTTATAGTCCTACTTTAGTCACAAATAGTCATTTCCTCACATACACACATGGCCATCATCATAGATAGTACAGTTTGGCTTCTTAGTTAAGTTGTCTTTGATGCGGCAGAAATTATTAGATACTTTACAAGTTCATAATTTTAATTAATTACTGTAAGGCACGTATTTAAATATTTTAATTTATAAAAAGTTTAATAATCTCTAATTATTATATAGAAATGTAAGTCAATATCACCCCACAGTCAAGTCCTCTTGGTTAACTTCACACTTGTTTCTCTTCCGCTTCCTCTTCTTCTTCTTTGTGTGAAAATCACAGTTCAACTAGTGATGGGTAGCCCAGCTTCAATGCCTGTGGGATTCAGATTCCACCCAACTGATGAAGAGCTTGTGGGTCACTACTTAAAGCACAAGTTGCTTGGTAACCATTCCACAGTGCATAATGTCATAGCTGAGATTGATGTATGCAAGTTTGAGCCTTGGGGCTTACCAGGTATTGTATTTATAACTCGTCAATTAGGATGGAAAAAAACGTGCCCCCCTTTTCTACTTTAATGTTCTTGATTAATATTATAGTATTATTGATTGATTAATCTCTAGTATTTTCTTTTTTTTTTTGGTTATTTTGTTCTTCCATAAACTGTGATGATAGCATTTTCCAAGGTAAAATCGGATGATCAAGAATGGTTTTTCTTTAGTCCTCTTGGTTTGAAGTTCACAAAGGACAGAAGGAAGAAGTGTAACAGGAAAACCAAAGCTGGATTCTGGAAGCCAACTGGTAAAGACCGTGAAATTAAGAGCCGAGGCAGCAAAAATGTCATAGGCACTAAGAAGACTTTGGTTTTCTACAAGGGTCGTAGTTCTGATGCTCTCAGGACCAAGTGGGTTATTCATGAATATCATGCAGTTACCTTTCCTCAAGACAAGGTAGGGAACGGAATGTTATTATTTTGCTTTACCACTTTGTTATTACGTACTTGATCAAACTTGCCTGTCTTTGGAATTTGTGTGTTTTAACTTTTTGGCATTAAAAATGACGACTACACCTTAAATTAGGAAAATGTTTGAATTTCCTTAGATGTTTTACTGGTGGTCATTTTCACCATAGAAAGTTAATGGCCAAGTTACTTAATTGACACGGACAATTGTTTAGTTTTATAGTCATTTAATGTGTTGGCATACAAACCAATTCGCATATCTTTCTATGATTATAACAAAAAAATGATATAGTGATATAAAAAAGACAGATTCTAAGGCATAGGATGTTAGGTCTTTTTTGAAGGGGAGGATTGTTGATATACAAACCAAGTCTCACATCTTTAGAACCACAAGAGAAACAAAGGTTTCATAAAGCATATACATATTTCATTAGTTAGAGACTTTTTGGGTGATGATCAAAAACAGAGTCATGAAGGTGAAAGTTTAAAGTGGACAATATCCAAATATTGTGAAATTGTGTGTGCAAATACCATGATAAAAATAAAAAGATATAAGCCTTCTTTTGATCAATATATCCTCTCAAAGACAAATACCGTAAAATAACCCTTACATAATGATCCAATTTTTCTCATGTTGGATTGTTTAGTGAGATTGATTATTCATCACTAATTTCAATGAGAGATCACCTTTTCTGCTGGTTTATCTTCTTTTTTTTTTTTTTTTTTTAATGTACTGGATGAAGAATCTACCAAAGCTTTTAGGCTAAAGATTTTGAAGCATGATATTTGCTTGTCTTATGTTGCACAAAGGACAAATATGTAACAAATTAATGTTGATCATTTCTTCACTTTATGCAGAGAGATTTTGTCTTGTGTCGCTTAATGAACAAAGCTGAGAAAAAAGCAGAAACGGAAACTGATAAATTGATACATGGTGAAGGGGACTCAAGTAACCATATTGTTGCTGACTTTGAGAACCAAGAAACTGATGATAAAATTCCAAATGTGAGTAGAAGCATCCTTTATGGGGCATATTAAGAACTGATTCTAAACATATGGTTTCTATACTTAAACAAACTAAGAAGTAACACTTGGTTCACATTTGTTTCAGGTATATACTTTACCAGAAGTGAATCTGGAATCAATCTTTCCAGCACCTCCTCAAGCAGAGGAATATGAATTGCCCTCAATTCAACAATCTACAATTTGCATTGAACAAGAATCATCTTCCCGAGGTTCTTCATTTCCCAGTGCATATATTGGGGAGAAAAACAATACTATGCATATTCAAATGGAAACCATTGAAGAGGAAGACCATCTTGATAATATATATATCGATAAGTTCTTGAATGAAATTTTAGTTGGCGAGGATGCCTTTAACACTAATGAAACTATACCTGCTTTTGGTATAGAAACAATAACTGCTCTGAAGGAGGCATATTATGAAAGCAAAGAAACAGATGGTGAACCACTATCTGCACAGGTAAAGATTATTCCTTTAGAGTGAAGGGGTGTACTTTTGGAGGATAAAGTACTTAGTTGGAGAATAAGTCCCATATTAATGGGATAGAAACATATAAATCTGTTAAAAACAAGATCAAGGGTATATAAGCAAGATGGTCCTAACTAAGCCCACTAAACACACTTGGACAAACAAATTTTATAATCTTTGGTTAGAGCATCTGAAACACTATTCATATAAACGACTCACTTAATCTCTTTGAGTCAATACAAGCCACCTCAATTTTAAAGAACCTACTTAATTTTCCCTCAAATACAAATTTCTATCAACAAATTACTTGGTTCACAAATATCTTTTCACTCTTCAATATCTCACAAATATCTTAGTTCACACACAATTCCTAAGCAACCTATAAGGAATGGCTTATACAAGCCATTCTCTTTAATTTTAAGCAATTCAAAATCACATGGGAAATACTAAAACAATATTTAATTGTCAAGCAATCCATAAGCAACTACCATTAAAAATGCTCTTAGAAGATCACAAGTTGAAATTATAATAAGATACAAGTACGTGCATAATAAGCTCTTGAATCGATAAAATCACAATTAATTTCTTAATTAACAGTTATAAATGTTCTTTATCCTCCAAAGTGTATTCCCTCACTTTAGAGGGGTCAAACTGAGAAAAAGCTGTGTAGGGACACTGCTTATAAACACATTGAGAATTACTAAAACAATATTTTATTGTTAAGTAATTCATAAACACCATTGGAAATGCTCTTAGAAGATTACCAACAAGTACCTGCATAATTAACCCTTGAATTGAGGGGTCAAACAAAGTGTATTCCCTCGCTTTTGAGGGGTCAAACAAAGTGTATTCCCTCGCTTTTGAGGGGTCAAACAAAGTGTATTCCCTCGCTTTTGAGGGGTCAAACGGAGAAAAACCTGTGTAAGGACACTACTTATAAACACATCGGGAATTACTTGAGAATTACTGATAATTACTTGAGAATTACTGACATAAAAGTATCAGAGACAAAAACAAAGTACTTGAGAATCAGGGACAGGGTGTCTGCCAACCAAATGCCTCAAAGATTAGCTCCATCTATTTATTTTCTGTTGAAATTGTTATAACATGGCAATATTCTATGCACTAGTTCATCAGTGTGTAATGAACATAGTGGTTCAAGGGAAAACCAAGTAATATCAATGGTGAAATCATCATATTATGATTTCTTGGGAGCGAATGCATTTGGTGACTCACTCCATAGGTACCTTATCCAGAGTGCTAGCCCTGGATATCCGTCACCTTCAAGAAGATGCAAAAGTAAATATCAATATATCATCCAGTGTCAATCAACTTTGTGTCACTGAGAGATGATGCTCCCAAGAACATAGAAAGGGTTTGACCAAAGCTGTACAAGAGGTGAGAAAGCCAAGCTTCTACACCACAGATATTGAGAAGCCTGCCTTTCTGAAGAGAAACATGCTTCATTTAAAGCAAATTTTAACTTTAGCTTGTCATTGTTAAACCTTTCCTCTGTATGATGTATTTTCATATTTTGTAGGCACAGAAGGAAACACATACTGGAGTCAAACGAAGAACAGTTAAAAGCTCAGGGAACCGATGCAAGAAAGCATTCGGAAGCACAAGCAATCAATCATCTACTCTAAATGGAAAGAGTTCTTCCAGATACTTGGAGACTCCTTTGCCAGTGAAATTGTTCAAGTATGACAACATTCAAGACACTACTTCATCAGCATTTAGTGAACATAATTGTTCGAAAGAAAACCTGATTATGTCAACAGTTCAAACAATAAATGATTCTGTTAATGCTTGCCCTCCTTCATTGTCATCTAAAAATGAAGTAAACCAAGAGAAAAAGGGCAGTTCTTCTGCCGAGTTCTGGGAACAGGATGCTTATGATGACTTAATTACAAATGAACCTTCCTTTATTCGCTTAATTAGGGCCAGCCCCTCTCCTTCACCTCCAAGAAAATGCCAAAATAAATATTTTCTGACAACTGACATTATGCATCTTTGTGTCACTGAGAGCTGCTCCAGAAAATCTCAAACAAAGAGGAATATTTTAAGCCAAGTATTATCCCAACAAAAGGTCAGAAAACTAAGCTGTTGCACTAAAGACATGGATAAGCTTGTATTTGTGATGAGAAGCAAGCTTCATTTGAAGCAAATTTAATTTTATCATGTTATGATAAACCTTTGCTCCATATGATGTATTCTGCAGGTACTGAAGAAAACACACACAATAAAGTTAAACCAAGAGCAGAGAAAAGGTCAGGGTACCATTTCAGGAAAGAACTTGGAAACCAAGAACCATCTATCATCTGGGATCATTGGAAAGGGTTCTTTCATTCAGTTGGAGACTCCGTTTGTGCAAAGATCATGGTTTCTCTTCACCTGGAGTTCTGCTTGGTCTTGGCATGGTTTTGATTTTCACCATGACGTGGTGCAAAAGGTGAAACTCAAAGGGGTCTCTTAATGATGCAATCATACTGCATCCTTCTTAACATAATGGAATTTCTGCACTCACAGCTTGTATCTTGTTTCATACTCTGAACTGCTATTGTGCTTTTTAGTCCTCTGTTATGTACATTTCTTGTGTTTTATAAAGCTGAACTTCTATAGTATTCTATGAATGTAGACTTCCTTCAATGTAGCTAATATGTTTGGTGTTTCTTGATAGTATTGTTGAATGAAATAGAATGGCCTATCTGGATTTCTGGATATGCCTGTAACCTCTGATTGAGGTTCATTTAAAGCTCTTCCAACAGCTTGCTTATTTATTTATTTTTATTCTTTTTAAATAACTCTCCCACATGATTAACTTATATAAGATTATAGTGATATTTTTTTTTCTTCGTGAATATAGATTACATGTTCCAAAGTTAACAATTAAGGACTAATCTTTCCTTATTATGATCAGAGACATCATTCTTCGATTAAGAAAAAAAAAACACATTTCGACAACTTTAAGTTGTTTCTTTATTATTTACTACACTCTTGCCTGCCATGAATTTTACACTTTATTTCTTTAAATTTACAGGTGTAAACCGTTAAGATAATGACATTTATATTTGATTATTTTAACATACATTTGATAATTTAACTGAAATAGCTTTTGGATTAAAAATAAATACTATACACTGACAAATGGGTAAAAAAACTTATGGGGTGAGAGAGGCTCGAACTCTCGACCTCAGGATAACTCAACGAAGCTATGAGACCTACGCGCTAGCCAACTGCGCCACCACCCCCCTTTATATTGTTGTGCTCTCTTTTATGTTTTAACTATGCGGATACATGATCACATCAGTCACTGATTAAATTTTAGAGAAAAAAAATATTTAAACCAAGTCAACAAACTAAAATAAAAAAAGATTAGCTTAATTTAGATCTGATTTTTTTTTTTGAATAAATCTAAGTAAAGAATAAGACAAGTATGAGTCAAATAGATACAACTTAGTGACTTACAAGCCTCAAGTTTAAACACTCAAAAGAATGCACACATCATGCTGTAATTCCTTAGATCCATAATTTGCGTGTCTTGGATTCCAAAATTCTACTCAAAATCTAGTTTTTAATTAACCAATTTATCTACATCAAGAAAAAAAAAACATTGGGAACAAAGAATCAATATCAATAGTGCATGGGTCAATGATTCACATGGAATAAAAAATAAATCAAGTCACAAATTTTAAATATCTAAACTTAAACCAAAAAATTAATCAATAGGAAACATTGAACTTCTTATATATAAAAAAGGGGAAAAAAAAGAGAGGAAACATTGAACTTTTAACAAGAGAACAAAGATTTGAGAGAGAATTCAAGATGCAATATATATATTCTATTCCCAAAGTGATTCTTCAATGAAGAATATACAGCAACAATCCACAGCCCAGGCTTTGTTCTCGCACCAAAGACAAATAATTGTGGTATAGCTCAGTAATGAGATGTTGTCACTTGTCACTGAGCAACGACTACAAAATGTGTTTGGTTAGTTAACAAATGCAATCGAGTTAGCAAAAACAAAATGTGTTTGGTTTAGTATGTTTTTTTATATTTGATATTATGAGTAAAATTTATACAATCTATAAGAAAGTTAGGTTCTATATACTAAATGTGCGTGACTCTTTTATTATTTATTGATTTAATTCTGTTAGTAGACCACCAAATCTACCTTAAATGTAGATTTTACTAGGCTCAAAGTCAATTATCAAGATAAAAAACAAACTAATTTTAAATTTGAGAAATAAAAAAAAATTACTTCATATTTTGAGAAGTTAAAACATTAGTATTTAACCCTTTCAATATTATGAATTGTATGACATGGGAAAGGAGAAAAAAAAATAATAATTGGCAAGTGTATTGAGCTATATAAAAATTATAGTACAGAGAGAGGGGTTTTGGATACAGATTACAGAGCTCTTATGGGACATGAAAAATTCGGCCTAAGCTTGTTGGGCCGTGAATGATATGATTGATGAGAAAAATTTATCCACTAATTATCTGTTATGCATCCAGCACTTCTGTCGAATCCTGTCTTGTGTATGCAGCTATGTTAAATTTTGGACTAGCTATTTTACTCTTTGAAGTACATCTAACGTAGCGAGAAGATTAATCACTGTTATTAACAGTGGATGCTCCAGAGACGAACAAAAAAAAAAAAAAACACTGCTAGTCTGTTACAAAAGGGATAAAAGGCATATAATAACGTTGATAATAAAGTCAAATTATGATGAAAAGTTAAAAAAAAAAAAAAAAAAAAAACTGCTTAAAATTATATATATATATATATATATAATGGATTATGAAATTATACAAATATTAATTGATGTTATTTATAATTAACAATTATAACTGTAAACAAAAAATGATAAAGTATTAAATGGTTAAACCTCTTGATAAACTTATAATTTTACGTTAACAATTTTTAATTAAAAGGCTCAAAATTAGAGCACGCTACGGAAAACGAAAATACTTTTTTTATTCATAGAAATTAAACTTAGTATTAAAGAAATTATAATAATTTACGCACATTATTTAACCAACTAAGTTAGAGTCTTTTAATAAAATAAATTTATTGATAGAAAATTGTATTATATCAATATATCATTATATTTAACACAGATCTACAAATTTGAATTATACAATAATAAATAAAAAAATTGTCCATAGACAAATTTTTATAGCAGTAGATAATATACATAAACAAAAATGCGTATTTCACTTTATCACAGTATCCTAGGGTGAACTAAATTTTGGATTTAGTTAACCTCAAACCAGTGGTATTTTATTAAGATTATTATCTTAAAAATGTAAAAATTATTGAAATCAAAATTTCATTTTCTAAAAGATTTTTTTTATATGCATTTCCAAATATTAAATCCTAATCAACATATTTAAATAGCAGAACTATCTGTCATCATGTTAACCTTTTGCTGGTCCATTTTTAATAACCTTTGATGTAGTTTAAACTTTAAATGATACAAAAATTAAGACTCCTTCTTTTGTGTTGAAATGAGGTATAAAATCTATCTAGAAATTAAGATTATATGATGCAATAAATACTAACAAGTAGTTTTTTTTTTTAATCATTACAAGTAGTTTATTTAAAAATGAATTTCTTTAAGTAAATATTTGAATTTAAGCTTTATAGTTAACAGAATATAGTTGGAAGAAAATACTATACTAAAAACAGTTAACAAAACTTTTTAGAAAAATTAATCATTTGTGAAATTAGTAGATATTATTGGGATAAAGTTCTACGTCGTTAGAATAAGAAGAAAAATAAAAGTTTATAAAATACATACACACTCTATTGATAAAAAAATCTTTTGGATGATGATTAAAAGTAAAATTATAAGGATCCAAACTCAAAGTAAATAATATCTTGTCATTATTATGAAGTTGTGTATGAAGTAAAAGAACCCTAATGGTAGTATCAAAGCTTTTGGTTGAATTTGGTGACAACTAATAACCCATAAAACAAATAACAATAAAAAAAATATAATATAAAAAACACATTCCATTAAATGAAATGTTAGACCTTTTTATTTGAAGGGAGGATTGTTGGGATAAGGTTTTATGTCATTAGAACAAAAGAAGAAAGAAAAGTTTATAAATCACATAGATGTTTCATTGGTAAGAAACCTTTTGAATAATGATCAAAAACAAAATCATGAAGACTTGGGTTCAAAGAAGACACTAGTTATTTTATCGTTTTGGAGTTGCGTGTGCAAATACCCAAAAAATAATAAAGAAGATATAACCCTCTTGACAAGTATATATTATTCCTCCTCAATGAAATTCAAACCATTACATAACCTCAGAGCTATCAATTTGGACTCTGTCTCATGGGCCAGTATGCAAATAAGGTTAAACTAAGTCTTGTAAAAGATGACCTAAATAGAATCAGACTATTTTGGTTTTACCCGCTAAACTTGACAAGTCAAATGGGTACATGTGGGACTGACTTGCAAACTTACAGGCTAGTTCCACTACAAGAATGTTTCAATTTAGAGTCGGCCAAAAGCCGACTCTAAATCATAAAAGCCGACGTAATATTGTCAGTTATTCGTCGGTTTTTGGCCGACGCTAAATAAGTCGACACAATTTTTTTTGTGTCGGCTAAGCCGTGTCGCAACCCGAAAATTTCCAATCTTGCGACTAATGGTTTAGACATGCTTTTAAAAGTCTCATCAATTAAGGAATGCCCGGACACCAGACTAATCCTTAATTAATGGTTTTGAAAAATGAGTTCATGGAGTCGCCACCAATGTTTTACTCAAAACATTGGAAAAAGAAAAGATTTTTAAAATATCCAATAATGGCCTTGATAACCAAAATTGGGTTCGGGGGTCGGTTACGTGTAGAGAAGGTATTTAACACCCCTACAACGCCCTTAATTGGTACCCTATGACGAAATTAACATTATAAACAATAATAATATAAATATTAAGTCCCTTTTTATTAATGATTATTTACATGCTTGAAATTTAAATAATACAATTAACCCTAAAATGTCTACATGATTGTTTTTATTATAACAATAATTATTATAGATAAGAAATAACAAAAAGGAAAGAAAGAAATTAATTGAAATACCACTTGAATGAGCTCTATTGGATCTTCAAAATAGGGAGATTTTAGGTGCTTTGTGGCAACCTTTCACACTACAGTATGCCTCACAAATCTCAAGAAATACAATAGGAGGGAGAGAGAAGATAGAGATGCAACACAAATCTCAAGAAATACAATAGAGGGGAGAGATATAGAGAATTTTCGTGCTCAAAGGAGTCTTATTCGAAATTTCACTGGCTGCCCTGAGAACTGTGCCCGAGATCTCTATTTATAGGCATCAGATGTGGGCCGGAACGGCCCGTTCTGATTTTGGAACGACCCGTTCCAAACCAAATATTTTAGGCCCTTTGAATGGTTTGGAACGGCCCATTCTAGTCTAGAACGGCCCGTTCCAACCTACAATTTTAGGCCCTTTTTGGAGTCTCGGAACGGCGCGTTCCAGTTCGAGAATGGCCCGTTTCGAACTTGGGAACGGCCCGTTCCGATTTTGGAACGGCCCGTTGTTCTTTGTTGGAACAAGAAGAATGAGTTCTACAATGTATGATATTAGGAAGTTTACAAGCAAGAATGATTTCATCCAATGGAGAATGAAGATGAGAGCTATATCGGTCCATCAATGGCTAGAGGAGGTTCCTCAAGGAGAAAAAAAAATAACCACCATAGTTACATACTAGGAGAAGAAAGAGATGCTAAATAAAGCCATAGCACCTTATTTTTGTCCCCATAGAGACAAGGTTCTTAAGGAAGTCTCAAATGGAAAGACTATTACTATTGTTTGGCTCAAATTGGAGAGCCTGTATATGACCAAATCCTTGGCCAACAAGTTATATTTGAAGCATAATTTTTACACCTTCGAGATGCCAGCAGGCAAGGCATTGGATGATCACTTGGATAATTTCAACAAGATCATTCTTGTTCTTGAAAATATTGAGATCAAGATTGATGATAAACACTAGGCACCACTACTATTGAGATCATTTCCAAATCAATTTGACAACCTCTTATACACAACCATTTATTACAAAGATGCTATGTTATCAAATGGGCTTCAAGTTGCTTGATCTCCAAAGGAATTGCAGAAGAGGGCTAAGGGAGAAGAAGATTAACCAACATAAGGGTTTTACAAAAGGGGCATGCCATAAATAGAGATTCTAAGATCATGAAGGGTTCAAGATTCAAGTCAAAAGAGGGCAAGTAGAGGAAGCGCCTTATTTGTGGGAATGAGGAACTTCTCAAGAAGAATTGCCTTGAAAATAAGTAGAAAAAGAAGTATGGAGAATCAAGAAGTTACAGATGTGATGTTGATGTTGTTTTAGAAGGATAAAGAATGTTGAATTGATGTTCATTTTAAAAGAATTTAGACTAAAATGGGTTCTTGATTCTAGATGCACATTCCATATGTGTCCTCACAAGGACTAGTTTATTTACTATAATGAAATCCATGGAGGAAAAGTTATGTTAGGCAATAAAAAGGTTTGTAAAGTGATTGGAATTGTGCCATAAAGCTAAAACTTGCAAATGGAGAAATGTGGATCTTGCAAAGGGTGAGACATGTGCCTAATTTGAAGAAAAATCTAATTTCTCTTTAGATGTTTGATAAACAAGGCTATGGGTACAAGGATGTTGAAGGTGGAGTTATAAGAATCAAAAAGGGGTCCATGGTGCTAATAAACTGAAAATTAGATAATGATTTGTATTTTCTTCAAGGGGGCACTTTGGTGGGCACTGTTGTTGCAGTTTCTGAAATAGACTAGTCTCAAGTAGCCTTTGACATATAAGGCTTGGTCATATTAGTGAAGAAGGTTTGAAGGGAGCAAACAAAATTTGCAAGGCAAAAACTATATTGAGGCACTAGAATTTTGTGAACACTACATCTTTGGGAAAACAAAGAGACTAAAGTTTGTCACTATTACTCATCATGCAAAAGGTACTCTTAACTACATTCATAGTGACTTGTGGGGGCCATCAAGAGTTTCCTCTCACAGTAAAGCACGTTATTTCCTACTCATCATTGATGATTTCTTAAGAATTTGTATAGAATTGCATTTTTGAGAATAAGAATGAGTCTTTTGCAAAATTTAAAGAATGTAAGGCTTTAATTGAAACTCAAACCAATAGAATGATCAAGAGGTTTATAACTGATAATGGGTTGGAGTTTTGTTATGAAGAATTTGAGCAATTTTGTAAGAAAAACAGGATTGATAGGCTCAAGGCTGTTAGAAGGATTCCTTAATAAAATGGACTTGCTGAGAGAATGAAAATGATTGTATGTAGAGGGTTAGATGCTTGTTAATTGTTAATGGGCTAAAGTAGTGATCATAGTTTCTCATTTGGTAAATAGAAGTTCATCCACTACTATTGGAAGGAAAAAACTAGAAGAGATGTGGTCTAGTCATCCTCCAAGCCTATAGAATTTGAAAGTATTTGAGAGTGTGGCTTATGCTCCTATAGACCGATGGAAGCTTGAACCAAGGGCTCTAAAATGCATGTTTCTAGGTTACCCTCAAGGTGCGAAAGGGTTTAGATTATGGTGCATGGAGAAGGGGCAACCTCGGGTATTAATCAACAAAAATGTTATGTTTAGAGAATTAGAGATGTTCTACTCAAATAAGGATTCAAGTTAGCAGCCTCATGAATTGGCTATTAATGAGAAGGTTTATTTGGAGGTGGAGCCATTACACAAATTTAAAATTCAAAAGCCTTTTGCAGAATATGAAATTGAGGATCATGAGCATATTGGAGACACTACTCAACAAGAGTATGTTTTGGCTAAAGTTAAAGGTAGAAGAACCATTAAGCCGCTAAATAAATTTGGTTATGTTGATATGGTTGCTTTTTCACTTACTATCTAGTCAGACTCGGGACATTTGTATATACTTATATTCTAAACTCTATATTTATATACTTTTTCTATTCTGTCTAGCGTTTTCGGTGTGTTATGGTTGTGGGAGTAGTGGCCAGCCGGGTCGTTACAGAAGAGAATGGAGATAACTATGATCCCATATATTTGTCAGATATTGAATCCGATGATGAATGGATCACCGAAAAGGAGAATCCTTGCTTGCCTATTGATGCCTCATGGATGGATGTACATGAGTGCTTTGGTGTTGATAAGGGAGCTCCAAAGAAGAAAAGAAAGAGAGGTAATTATTTATATTTAAAAGTTAGTTTAGAACTTGGAAGTTAGAATTAGAACTAGACCTTATTATTTTCTTATTTCTTTTGATTACATAGGTCCAAGAAACTTGAATGCCAAGATTGGTAAGGGAAAATCAATAATAGAAGATGAGGATGAAATTGAAGATAATGAAGAAGAAGAACTTTTGATATTAGAAGATGAAGATGACTTGAGTGATGTAGATCTTGGGGTTGGGGATGATGAATGATCTTGGATAGGGGCATTTTGTATAGATTTTTTGAGGCTATATGACTGAATTTGTGTGGCAGAATTTGTGTGGCAGTAGCACCACTTGTTGCTGAGTTTATGCTGCAACAACACTAATATTTTTTTTGGGTAGCTATATTGCTGAATTAGAGTGGGACTAAATTGAAACAAACAATTAATATAAGGGACCAAAATAGGGTTTTAGCCTTATTATAATCATTCTCCTAATTATCTTGAACTACATTTCTGAGTCTTGGGCAGAGTCTTCGTATTTCGGCCTCTTATAGAAGTATTCAAGCTGCCTATTGGATTCCAACTTGGAGAGTTGTCACTTGCTATTTTTCTTTTTAGATCCCTAATTTTTGCCTAAGTCGTGTCTTAGCGAGAACTTTTGATTTTGAATGAATTTTTTTTTTGCTTGCCTAAGATGCCCTTTGCGAGTTTTCATCCTAGCAGTATTTTGCAAGTGATATATTTTTTTTGGCATAACCCTTCTTTGCTTTGACAAAACCTCTTGCCATCTGGGTCTGGGAGGACCAGTGCCTTTAATGATTAACACTGCCCTCGTTGCATACACCAAGGAGAAAGATGATGCCTCGGCCTACAAGTATTGGGAGTTCTTTTATGGACTGAGATTTGTGCTTCCTTTGTTAAGCGAAATTGAGTTGAAGATTTTGTAAGACTCCTTTTGCGCAATGAGAATCTTATGGTTATGCATTTGATCACTTTCTCATCTATGTGTGTTTTGAGGAAATGATCTCCTTATCTACCTCAGACTCAGACAATACGTCGTAGATGTTCAGAGTTTTGATTAATTTTATTATCTTCAGTCATGTTTGTTTGTTTTTTTTTCTGGTGATTGATTTTGGAATTAGATGTGTGACACAAGAGAGAAAAGAATAATCACAAGAGATTTATGAAATGACGTATATTATTTGATGAATGCAAAAAAAAACTTGTACAAGCTCTTATTTTGAACTCGTGACCGTGGGCGAAGGTTATGAGTTTGAGCAAATATTTTTTTTTTTTTGGAAAAAAGAGAGCCCCTAACAACTGTCATTCCAAGATGGTTACTCATCTAGTCATTCCTTGATGTGTGTTGTGTTGGCCTCAAACTTGAGCAGCCCGGCGTCAATAAGCTCTTGTACACGAGATTTCAAAGCCTTGCAATTTTCTATGGAGTGGCCTACTGCCCAGCGTGATAATCGCATGTTTCCTATGGCCTATACCATAGCGGGTAAGGCAGTTTTTGCTTTCTTTGTGGTGGGGTTCTTACCAGCATGGATGCCTTCATCAATTGGGGAAATAGCTCTGTGTAGCTTATAGGAATTTTGTCTAGTTCCCTTTCCGCTTTTCGTGATGCTTTGGTCGTTCGAGGAGTAGCGGAAGAGGTTAGAACATTAATTCCATTTTCCCCAAAAATCTTCTTATACCCTTGGCTTTCAGGGGATTTTCCTATCTTCCCACTTTTTAGACCTTGCTCAACTCTTTCGCCGATAGTGACTATGTCGGTAAAGAGAGTCGAAGTGTTCCCTATCATCTTGTCATAATAGGGTCCACTTAAGGAATTGATGAACATTGTCACCATCTCCTTATCAGATAATGAAGGCTCTACTTGCGCAACCGTTTCTCTCCATCTCTGTGCATAGGTTTTGAAGGACTCGTCGCCCTTCTTGCTAAGCTTTGCAAATCAGACCTATCAGGAACCAGGTCGATGTTGTACTTGTATCGACGAAGAAAGGCGTCGGCTAACTGTTTCCATGTCTAGATCTTCCCTCCATCCAGTTGCATGTACCAATTGAGAGCAACATCTGAAAGGCTTTCTTGAAAATAGTGAATTAGGAGCTTTTCATTGCTCACATAGGCTGCCATCTTCCTACAGTACATTGTTAGATGTCCTTTTGGACAACTGGCTCCAGTGTACTTTTGAAAGTCAGGGATTTTGAACTTGGCGGGGAATTGGATATCCTGCACCAGACACATATTCACAGCCTCTTGAACGTCAAGACTGTGGCCTTCCACAGCTCTCAGTCTTTCTTCCCAGGCGTTCAGATGATCTTTGGAAACATCACCGACATTGCTAGTACTATTGTCGTGCTGCAATTTATTCATGGCCTCAAGCATTCTACCCATTTATTCCTTGAGTTGTTCAAGCTCCTCATTAAGGACACGATTTCTTTCCTCTAGGCCTTCCACAGCTTTTATCTTTTGAGCTTGTGTGAGTATGGAATGTTGAAAAACCACCTTTAAGGGAAAAGATAGTTTCCTATCAACTTTATTTAAATGGTAATGCATGAAGGGAGTTTCTATCAAAGACTTGATGGCTCATCCTTGTCGAGAGGTGAGTTATCGGTGTTCCTCTTCATAATATTTTATGATGTAACAGAGGTCACACTGATTTCTCGTCTTTGATACGAATCCCCTTGTGATCCTAAATATATGATATGCATGTTCCCTCTTTTTTTTTATTTTGTAGAAAATGCATGATGCCCCCCCTTTTTTTAAGGAAGGAATGTATGCTTCTCACAAATCTTATTTTCACACCAGGTTTTCTCTCACATGATAATGTATTTTTAATTTTTTGTGTTTTTCTTTACCTTAGGGAAATTATAAAAAATAAATGAATGATTTGAATAGAAAAAATGCAACAAACATATGCTCATACAATCCACAAACAGTCGCATATACATCCATGGTCTGTGGTCCCTGTTAAAAAAAAGTGCATTGTATAGGGCAGTTCTAATTATCCTCACTTTGGTCTTAAGGCCCCCAAGGTGCCCCCATTATAGGGACCCAGTATCTCTGTCGCCGTCACCTAGCAAACTCTAAGGTCTGTCGTAGTATTTCAGGCTAGAGTAACCGGTTATCACCTTGAGTGTGATTTCCGACAAGGCTCGCAGGCTCCCCGGGTGTAGGGGGACTGTTGTATGCTATGGTTTGTGTGCAATTTGTTAATTCAAACATATGCAGAATTTAAGCAAGCATACAGATAATTAAGCCAAACAAATAAAGCAAACAAAGTAAAGAGAAATAAATATTTAAATTATTATTTTTATTTTATTAACTTCATCAATTAAATGGGCCTGAGCCTCTTTAAACGTCCCCAGCGGAGTCGCCATCTGTCGTAACCCAAAAATTTATAATCTTGCGACTAATGGTTTAGACATCCTTTTAAAAGTCTCATCAATTAAGGAATGCCCAAACACGAGACTAATCCTTAATTAATGGTTTTGAAAAATGAGTTCATGGAGTCGCCACCAATGTTTTACTCAAAACATTGGAAAAAGAAATGATTTTTAAAATATCCAATAATGGCCTTGATAACCAAAATTGGGTTCGGGGGTCGGTTACGTGTAGAGAAGGTATTTAACACACCTACAACGGCCTTAATTGATACCCTATGACGAAATTAACATTATAAACAATAATAATATAAATATTAAGTCCCCTTTTATTAATGATTATTTACATGCTTGAAATTTAAATAATACAATTAACCCTAAAATGTCTACATGATTATTTTTATTATAACAATAATTATTATAGATAAGAAATAAAAAAAGGAAAGAAAGAAATTAACTGAAATACCTCTTGAATGAGCTCTATTTGATCTTCAAAATAGGGAGATTTTAGGTACTTTGTGGCAACCTTTCACACTACAGTATGTCTCACAAATCTCAAGAAATACAATAGGAGGGAGAGAGAAGATAGAGATACGGCACAAATCTCAAGAAATACAATAGAGGGGAGAGATATAGAGAATTTTCGTGCTCAAAGGAGTCTTATTCGAAATTTCTCTGGCCGCCCTGAGAACTGTGCCCGAGATCTCTATTTATAGGCATCAGATATGGGCCGGAACGACCCGTTCTGGATTCGGAACGGCCCGTTCTGGATCCGATCGTTATATGTTAACTCTACACTCTAGAACGGCCCGTTTTGATTTTGGAACGACCCGTTCCAAACAAAATATTTTAGGCCCTTTGAATGGTTTGGAACGACCCGTTCTGGTCTAGAACGGCTCGTTCCAACCTACAATTTTAGGCCCTTTTTGGAGTCTCGGAACGGTCCGTTCCGAACTTGGGAACGACCCGTTCCAATTTTAGAACGGCCCGTTCTGGGCCACTAAAAATAGTTAATTTGGCTTTTGGGTAGTTAATTTGGCTTTTGGGCCCTCTAATGTCCTATTTTGGTGTTTGTATGCCCCCCGGATAAAATTGGGTGTCTACAAGCCGTCACTAACAAATTTATTTATTTTAATTTTTTATTGTCGGTTAAACCGACACTATGTTGACACAAATTTTATTTTATTTTTTTCTTTATCTTCTTTATCTCGCTTATCATTTATTCGTTCGTATTTTTAACATTCCTAGGACTCGATCCGTGAACCTTGAGGTCTTAAGTGAACTTGATAACCAAGTGTACTAGAACACATTATGCGTATATAACATTGGAAAAATTATTTTTATCTCTCTGAAAGCACGTATATTATTTAAATATAGCGTCGGCTTTTCCGACGCTAAACTTAAAATAAATTTAATTTAAATTTATTTTAAGTTTAGCGTCGGAAAAGCCGACGCTATATTTAAATAATATACGTGAAAAATAAGCGTCGACTAATAGCTGAGGCAAATAGTGTCGAAAAAACCGCTATTTTAAGATTTAGCATCGGCTTTTCGAACGCTAAACTTAAAATAAATTTAAATTAAATATTTTAAGTTTAGCGTCGGAAAAGTCGACGCTAAATCTTAAAATAGCGTCGGCTTTTCCGACACTATTTGCATCAGCTATTAGCCGACGCTTATTTTTCGCTGCTTATTCACCATTTTCTTGTAGTGTTTGTTAAACTAATAAGTGAAATAATTTGAATTACCATTAATCTATAAATTTATCATGTATTATAAAATAATAAAATAAAATATAATAATAGTAATAGTCTTTCACTCTTTAATTTGTATTTGCTTACAAGTTGTGGTTACAAACTTAGAATTAGGATTAATCGCTGTGAGAGTTGCACCACTCTTATTATGACTTTGATGGCTTGATCCTTGACTTATCCTCTCTGTTTTGTTTGTTGAAGAAGAAGACAAAGTCATGCTTATGCATGTACTCACCGAGTCATGATAATGACTTACCGTCGCTGCTCAAG